ACGTGGGCATGGGTCAGTGAGCCAGAGAAATTGTTGACCTAGAGAGCATGCACAGAGCCTTTACCACTAGAATCCACTCTATAAGTCATTTATATTATTGGGACCAATTAATAGTTCAAAATCTGTATTCTCTAGAGTGTAGATGAGAGAAATACATAATAATCTACACATGGAAAATATTAGAGAGACTGGTTCCAAATCTAAATACAGAGATTACATTACATGAAACCAATAGGCATGGCAGGATGTACAAAATAGCCCCATTGAAAATCAGAGGTGCAATAACAGCACTGTGGAAGACCTTTATCAACATCAAGAGCCCAAGACTTCAACACTTCCTCTATGCACAAAGGGCATAACTGCCAGTCTCTCAGTGTTCTAGAGAGAACTCTGCAAACACCTCCAAAGAATACCTGGCCAACCATGCTGTGATTCATACATCAGGCTGTGAACAGCCCTTGTCCAACAGCCTGGTTGACCAGACAACCAACCAGCCTGGTCGGAGATCGAGCCACGGGGCCTTTGATTCCTGGAGCCTCCACAAGGTAAAGTCATCTTGGCAATATTGCATCATCTTATGCTGGTCAGTTATGTTCCTGTACTTGCAATGACATGAGAGTGCCTTTCTACCACTCATTCTTACATTTCTACCCCCTTATTCTAATCTCTACAGGGCTGCTTAGTCTCTAATTAGAAGTAAATTTCTCATTTAGGGTAGTCCCATTTTGGAGGGTGTCATGTGTGAGTGTTGATCCAGTCACACACATTCATTTCCCTGGTCTCTCTTCTCTCTAATCTAACCGAGTCCACTATATTTCTGAAGCCGAGTCTTCTCTTCCTGCCCTGGCCTCATCTCTTATTTTCTCCTGGCTCCACTTACCGTCCTTCATACAGTTTCCCTGTGGTTAATGTTGTGCCCTTGAAAATGGGATACAAAATTAACCCTCTTGGGAAAAGGAAGAGGTAAATGCCCTTTTCTCACTGTTCCCCTTGGGTACATCCCTGTATAGTACATGAGAGACCTGAAGTTACTAGGTTCATTTCTGGGTGGAGCCCCGTCGGCTCCCTGGAGCTATCCAGGCTGAATGGATATGTATAACTTTCTGGCATCAGTCAAAGTACTAGGAGTTCTTGCCTACCGGGGACCACGAGCCAGAACCTGGTCCCCTCAGAGAGGCACGAGGAGCAATGGCCTATAGAAACCCCCTTGTGGTTGGGAGCATTCTATGTCTGCCATCTACTGGGATAGGCACCCAGAAAGGTAGGCGCCCCAAAACTAACCCCTATTCTGGTGAAAATATTGCTACCGAAAGCCGAACGAGTGGACAGAACTCCCCAAACAAAATTATCAAACTAGCATGACGTCATCACGTTGCTGCGCCACCGTCTGCGCAAACCCCTCCCCCCATATCCCCGGGAGGGGATATGGGGTGGAGCCCCAGACCCTCCACGCCGGCGATCCAACTGGCAGTTCTTGGGTGATGTAAGTACAGTACTAGCCAGTCGAGTGCCTCTGGCTCCGGTTTTTGTTTCAGTTCTGTGCCTTGTGGTGTGGGCTGTCTCTACCGGTGGGGTGTGAGCCAGGAGTGAGATTCCACGGTACTCGGGCTGCATGCACGTAGGGCTATCTTCCCTAGGTGCCCTGTAAGTACTGCCCTTGGGGCTTGGGGCCACCTTCCACAAGTCACCTTGGGTTCTACCTCCTCTGTGTCCTTTACTGCTCGGTACTGGGCCGCCCTTGGAGTCGGCTGTGGTTTTGTTGCCTGGTTTGTCTTTGGGTACGTGGTAGTTTTCGTCACTGGTAGGGGCACAGGTACCGCACAGCTAGTTTTCACCAATAACAGTAGCCGGCTCTGTTCTGCCCGGGTACGTTGTCCTCTTGCGGGGTTTTTCTTTTGTTTTTGTTTTTGCCTGTTGGGGGGGTCTGCCTTTATGGTCCCCCTTTACTGTTCTAGGTGTTTTTATTTCGATTTCTTCTGTTGGTGGTCCTCCCCACTTGGCCCCCGTGAGTGGACACATCCCGCGGGCTCAGCTTTTAGAAGTTTGTTTGGTAGACTTGGGTGCCAGTTCGCGGTACCCTGCCTGGGCTTCCCTTAGCGTGTACCAAAGGCTAAGGGCCCTGGGAAACCCCATGGGGGCTCCGTGGTCCTATAGGTGTGTCCCCGGAGTTCCCCCTCGCGTTCTGCGAGTTTGACAGTTGCTCTGTCCCCTTATCTCAGGGTGACACTCACCGGTTGTGCCTCCGCCATGCTGCCTGTTGGGTCATTGTTTATGACCCGGTGTCGTGCAATGGGTGTTGTCGGTACGTGCTCTCGTTCTCCCAGACCACTGGTCATGATAATCAGGTGCAGGCGGCTGTGGCGTTGCTTGCTGGTTGTAGGTTGCTGCAACGCTCTTGGTTGTTTGTGGCCCCAGATGCCCCGAGGCTGCCCCATTTTGGTTGTTGGGGTCCGGACTTGGGGGTGGGGGTCGCTTCGGCTCTGGCTCCTTCCGCTCCTTGTCCTTCCCCTTCTGTTCTGCACACTTCCTCCCTTGCTTCCGGCTCCGAACTGTAGGCGGGTTTCAGGGTTGGGGGCGGGGTCTGGTCGGGTTGAGACTCGAGCAGTCTCGGGGTAATTCCTCTTCCGGGGTGACGGCGGAGGCATTCGAGTTGGTTCCTCCAGCCGTACCGTATGGGTCTGACCAATGGGCTCCCTTCCTTAGTGTTTGTATGGCTGCCCTGGCTTTTCCTTGTCAAGCTGGGGCTTTGGGGGTGCGGCTCAGCCCCGGATCTTGCCGTCGAGGTTCCCGGGGTTGGGGAGGAGTTGCCTGAGGGGGCCTCGGCCCCGTTTGCCCCTCTTGAGTCTTTCTACCCTTGGTGAGGGGCTGGCGGTTCCTCGGAGTGGGGTTGTTCCTTCCTTTGTTTCATTACACCACAAGGCACAGAACTGAAACAAAAACCGGACCCAGAGGCACTCGACCGGCCAGTAACTCCATCAGCCAAGAACTGCCAGTTGGATTGCCGGCGTGGAGGGTCTGAGACTCCACCCTTCTCTCTCCCGAGGAGGGGGGGTTGCGCAGACAGTGGCGTGGTGACGTGATGACGTCATGCTAGTTTGATAATTTTGTTTGGGGAGTTCTGTCCACTCGTTCGGCTTTCAGTAGCAATATTTTCACCAGAATAGGGGTTTGTTTTGAGGCGCCTACCTTTCTGGGTGCCTATTCCGGTCGACGGCAGACACAGAATGCTCCTAACCACAAGAGGGTTTCTATAGGCCATTGCTCCTCGTGCCTCTCTGAGGGGGCCAGGTTCTGGCTTGTGTTCCTCGGTAGGCAAGAACTCCTAGTACTTTGACTGATGCCAGAAAGTTAAACATATCCATTCAGCCTGGATAGCTCCGGGGAGCCTCCGGGACTCGCCCAGAAAATGGCATTTCATTACATTCAACGCTGGTTATTTGGGGGTCCAGAAATTAGATATTGAGGTTATATTGAAAGTCTAGATACTTCTGCCGTTGATTCTTCAAGCTCCTGGACTTAAGTCATAAAGTTCCGTCCTGGGGAAGGTAAGAGTTTATGTATCACATTGGTGTGACAGTTTGGTTTTCTAAGATTTTTAGTCTTTAAGAGTCATTTTCATTTGGGGGAACAAGAAATATCAGAGAGACCAGATTTAATGTGGCTTACTTTCACTCACACATCAAGGTAAGTGTAATTAAATGTTGGTTGCATTTGAATTATTTGTATTAATATTAAACTGAATAATGTTTCATAACAAATCATAATTTCTTTTGAGTATCTGTTTTGCATTACAAAAGAAACTCAATCCGTTATAGTATGCAAAGTTCAAACTAATAGTCAGTACATGGGATGTTGTAGAGCTGGAGTTGGGTTCTCTTTTATCATCTGTGATGTTCTTCCCAGATGGTTATTCTGCTTTAGTTTCCAGAGACATTAATGCATTTGGCTGTATCTTAAAAATTAATTTCCTTACTAATTAGAAACAAATCATGGACTAATGCTTTGTGTTTGATAATGCCTTGTTCCGAGTTATTTTTTAAAGTTTTATTTTAAAATATTATTCATAAGATTATAATAATAATAATAATTGTTATTAATATTAATGTTATTTTAATATTAAAATTATTTCCACAGAAAATCACACTAACATGATATACATCACTGAGAAATAACTGGGGCTGTGAAGGTTCGCGTCACCTCATCAGTTCCCACCAGTTACCAATGGGTGCAAGTAGGCGGTGGTACAGTGGTAGAGTATGTGGCTGGCAATGCCCTGGTCACGGGTTCACGTTGCCTCACAGCCCCAGTGGATTTTCTCATTAAAATTATTCAGATTATTTATTCATAGTTGTCTGGAGCTTATTTTGAAATATCATGACACTCAAAATCACCATTTACTACTTTTGTATGTATAATGCTGTCAATTTCTGAAATGTCACTGTTAGTCACTGACTGACTGACTGACAGTGATAAAGCTGTCAATATTGAGATGGGCAGCAAGTCCATCAACAGACCGTAGGTCAACCTCATAAACACTATTACCAGCTAATCATTGCTGTACACACCTGTTGTTCACAGCTTCTTTTAACTTCTGATCTCTGGCAGGAGTCATTTTCTTCTTAATAGAACTTTCAGCATCGTGTTCTGTGGCAAACTTCCTTATATTATCTTCAGTCTTGTTATTGAGTCATTATGTGTGAAAATTCTAAACTCCTTAGCAGGTTTCCTTCCCGAGGAGTTTCCACACTAAGACAAAGGTCTCGTATTTCCTTTATAACTCATTTCTATCAATTATTTCACGGTAAAATTGCAAAATGTTGAAGTTCCTAGGAGCTACATGGGAAGGATTGTGAATCATAAAACCAATACAGCACTAAATTCCAACGTATTCTTGCCATGCATCATTGCACAGTACTGTGTCCTTATTAAGGTTCCTCTGTAGTTCCATATTGAATGTTTCAACATTTCAGAATGTAATATTTTTGACTACTTCTCAACAGGTGGACTGGGTAGTAATAGTCCTCCCTCATCACTGCCACCGGAATTGCCTCCCAGATCTGTTAGTTCCTCTATTGATGGCTCTACACATCGCTCAGTTGGACACACATCAGCATCTTGGCATGCTTCATCTCCTACTTCACAGGGCTTTTCCAGTAATCAAAGGTGAGCACCAATTTTCCATATCCCTTTGGTCCATTAATAGATGGTCTTGTATTATGATCTTCATGTTGGCCTCTCTAGTCTAGGATAAAAGTAATACAATATTTCTCGTAGACAGGCTTGCTAAAATATATTTTTTGAATCTTGTTAAGTATTCTTAATTGATTCTTTAGGAGATTTTTGTTTCCTCATCACCTCAAGCTGCAGGCACAAACACAGTATTTTCCCCTTATATTCAAGAATTGTGACCTAACAACAGTGGTACCTTCATTTACGATCATAATCCGTACCCAAAGACGCGTCGTCAACCAAAAGTTTGTCAACTTAAACAAGTTTTCCCTTAAGAAATAATGTAAATTGAATTAATCTGTTCCACACCCCCCCAAAAATATTAACTTAACACTATCTCTCTCTTTGGACATCGATCCCGTCCATTTTTTTCTCCCGAGTCCTAGCCGTGGACAGGACTCGCGTCGACTACAAAAATATTTGTATAAAATTCATTTTTTATCCGATCGACCTCGGGATAGTATCAAAATAAGCGCCTTTAGAATGCGCACAATTTGATACCAAAATGAAAGATGAAACATGAAACTTGATGTCTGAACACTTGAAAGATTATAAATAGGTTTTTGGTCAAAATATTAAAATATTTGGTAAAATTCTATTGATTGTCCTATTATGTTGGGACTAGTTTTAAAATGCGCGCCTTTACGTTGCAAATAATTTTATACCAAAATGAAAGATGTAACACAAAACTTTGTCAGAACACTGGAAAGATATAAATAATTTTGTGATGATGAGCTTCCAGAATTAAAATATTTGTTAAAATTCCAGTTATTGCTTTATTATTATGAGACTAATTTTAAAATATGCGCCTTTTTATTGCAAACAATTTGATACCAAAATGAAAGACGTAACAGGAAAATTGATGTTATCAAACTGAACGAGTATACACATACTATATATAAACATACCAGTGATACAAAGATGCGAGAAACAACTATACGACAGTAAGGAGAGAGGCAGGAAGAAATTTTGAAAAAGGGATAGTGGATAAATGTAAAACAGAACCGGGCCTTTTCTACAAATTCATAAACATCAAATTGCAGGTAAAGGATAATATCCAGAGGTTGAAAATGGGAAACAGATTCACGGAAAATGAAAAGGAAATGTGTGAAACATTAAATGAAAAGTTCCAAAGTGTGTTTGTACAAAGTGAAATCTTCAGAAAACCAGACACAATAAGAATTCCAGAGAACAACATAGAGCGGATAGAGGTGTCTAGAGATGAAGTGGTAAATATGCTAAAGGAGCTCAGTAAGAACAAAGCAGCTGGCCCAGATGGCGTTTCATCATGGGTTCTGAGAGAATGTGCATCTGAGCTCAGCATTCCACTTCACCTGATCTTTCAGGCATCCCGGTGTACAGGAATCGTAGCAGACGTGTGGAAACAGGCTAACATAGTTCCAATCTACAAAAGTGGCAGCAGGGAAGACCCCCTCAATTATAGACCTGTATCATTGACAAGTGTAATAGTGAAAGTATTGGAAAAACTAATCAAAACTAAATGGGTAGAACATCTGGAGAGAAATGATATAATATCAGACAGACAGTATGGTTTTCGATCTGGAAGATCCTGTGTATCGAATTTACTCAGTTTCTATGATCGAGCCACAGAGATATTACAGGAAAGAAATGGTTGAGTTGACTGCATCTATCTAGACCTAAAAAACCCTTTCGACAGAGTTCCACATAAGAGGTTGTTTTGGAAACTGGAAAATATTGGAGGGGTGACAGGTAAGCTTCTAACATGGATGAAAAATTTTCTGACTGATTGAAAAATGAGGGCAGTAATCAGAGGCAATGTATCGGAATGGAGAAATGTCACAAGTGGAGTACCACAGGGTTCAGTTCTTGCACCTGTGATGTTTATTGTCTACATAAATGATCTACCAGTTGGTATACACAATTATATGAACATGTTTGCTGATGATGCTAAGATAATAGGAAGGATAAGAAACTATGATGATTGTCATGCCCTTCAAGATGACCTGGACAAAATAAGTATACAGTATGGAGCACCACTTGGCAACTGGAATTTAATGTTAATAAATGCCATGTTATGGAATGTGGAATAGGAGAACATAGACCCCACACAACCTATATATTATGTGAGAAATCTTTAAAGAATTCTGATAAAGAAAGAGATCTAGGGGTGGTTCTAGATAGAAAACTATCACCTGAGGACCACATAAAGAATATTGTGCGAGGAGCCTATGCCACACTTTCTAACTTCAGAATTGCTTTTAAATACATGGATGGCGATATACTAAAGAAATTGTTCATGACTTTTGTTAGGCCAAAGCTAGAATATGCAGCAGTGGTGTGGTGCCCATATCTTAAGAAGCACATCAACAAACTGGAAAAGGTGCAAAGACATGCTACTAAGTGGCTCCCAGAACTGAAGGGCAAGAGCTACGAGGAGAGGTTAGAAGCATTAAATATGCCAAAACTAGAAGACAGAAGAAAAAGAGGTGATATGATCACTACGTACAAAATAGTAACAGGAATTGATAAAATCGACAAGGAAGATTTCCTGAGACCTGGAACTTCAAGAACAAGAGGTCATAGATTTAAAGTAGCTAAACACAGATGCTGAAGAAATATAAGAAAATTCACCTTCGCAAATAGAGTGGTAGACGGTTGGAACAAGTTAAGTGAGAAGGTGGTGGAGGCCAAGACCGTCAGTAGTTTCAAAGCGTTATATGACAAAGAGTGCTGGGAAGACGGGACACCACGAGCGTAGCTCTCATCCTATAACTACACTTAGGTAATTACACTTTGTAACACAGCACCAACATGGATTCAGGGATGGCAGGTCCTGCCTCACAGGGTTACTTGAATTCTACGACCAGGCAACAAAAAGAAGGGTGGGCAGACTGCATATTTTTGGATTGTCAGAAAGCCTTTGATACAGTGCCACACAAGAGGCTAGTGAAAAAGCTGGAGATGCAGGCTGGAGTGAAAGGGAAGGTACTCCGTTGGATACTACGTTGGATACGTTGGATTTCCTGCCCGAAACGCTGCACGTGCTAGTGGCTTTACAAGACTGTAATTACCATATTTGTATCCTCACATTCCTTATGTACATTCTTGTATATGCATAAATAAATAAATAAATAAATAAATACAGGAGTACCTAAGCAACAGGAGACAACGAATCGGTGTGAGGGGTGAGGTCTCAAATTGGCGAGACGTTACGAGTGGAGTCCCGCAGGGGTCAGTCCTTGGACCTATACTGTTTCTGATACATGTAAATGATCTCCCAGAGGGTATAGAATTGTTTCTCTCAATGTTTGCCGATGATGCAAAAATTATGAGGAGGATTGAAACTGAGGACGATAGTAGGAGGCTACAAGATGACCTAGACAATCTGAGTGAATGGTCCAACAAATGGCTGTTGAAGTTCAACCCGAGTAAATGCAAAGTAATGAAACTAGGCAGTGGAAACAGGAGGCCAGACACAGGATACAGAATAGGAGATGACGTACTTAATGAAACGAACAGAGAGAAAGATCTAGGAGTTGATATCACATCAAACCTGTCTCCTGAAGCCCACATAAAAAGAATAACGTCTGCAGCATATGCGAGGCTGGCTAACATCAGAACAGCGTTCAGGAACCTGTGTAAGGAATCATTCAGAATCTTGTACACCACATATGTAAGACCAATCCTGGAGTATGCGGCCCCAGCATGGAGCCCGTACCTTGTCAAGCACAAGACGAAGCTGGAAAAAGTCCTTAGGTATGCCACTAGACTAGTCCCAGAACTAAGAGGCATGAGTTACGAGGAAAGGATGCGGGAAATGCACCTTACTACACTGGAAGACAGAAGAGTAAGGGGAGACATGATCACAACCTACAAAATCCTCAGGAATCGACCGGGTAAACAAGGATAAACTATTCAACACGGGTGGGACGTGAACAAGAGGACACAGGTGGAAACTGAGTACCCACATGAGCCACAGAGACATTAGAAGGAACTTTTTCAGTGTCAGAGTAGTTAACGGATGGAATGCATTAGGCAGTGATGTGGTGGAGGCTGACTCCATACACAGTTTCAAATGTAGATATGATAGAGCCCAGTAGGCTCAGGAATCTGTACACCAGTTGATTGACAGTTGAGAGGCGGGACCAAAGAGCCAAAGCTCAACCCCCGCAAGCACAAATAGGTGAGTACACACATACACACTTGATCATATAAATTAAGTTAACAATTGCTTGCTTAGTTATCTTTAATTTGTAATAAAAGTTCATCCAATTGAATATAATCTCTTGTACTTAGTTAATAGTACTTAGACCACATTTAAGGTCATTTAATATCATACTACTACAGTTTTGATTGTTGTGTTTATAGTAAATGAATATTGGCTGTTGATAGTTATGGTGCTAGGCTGGACTATGTACATGTTTAAATCCCTGATTTAAACAGAACCAGTGTTAAGTCATAGCACTGAATATATTTAATCTTATCCTTGTATTAAAAATACAAGCTGATGTGAGATAATTGCCTGCAGGTGGATTATGGAACTTCAGTCAATCTCTTCATTCACCTCACCTGCCCCTTTCGGCCCACAGTCTGTCATTAGGAAAAGAGGAGCTAGGATTTACAACCCTAGCTAGAGACTTTAGTTGAATTAATTTGCATACAGTAAATTTTTAATTTAATACAGTACAAGTCCCTGGTAGTTCTCCTCTCATATCAATCCCGGCAGTTTTCTCCACATAAACCATCGTACACCAATTCAAATTTTACAATGAATTTGACGTCATATTCCAAAAAAATCGTACTCGAGGGTAGTCGTCAACCGATGTTCCACTGTACAAGCCATATTTGCTTTTAACTGGCTAGGCTAATATTGAATTCCTATACAACAAGACAATCCCTAGCCAAGAAAATGAGTCATAATAATCTGGCTGAAGAGTTGATATCCAATCCAC